CTAATTCTAAATAAGAACACTGTAGTCATTGCTTCTTGATTTGATATCTTTTCTCCTTTTTAACACCTTGCTAAGTCAAGTTCAGGCCTACCTATAAACCATCCCCTCCTTGCTCATCCAATGCTCTGGCTTTGCCCTACATCCCAACCTTCAATCCCCATTCCTAAGCAACCCAAGTCCAGCCTTTTCCCAGAAATGGGGCAGAGCCAGTCCACTTTCCACACCTTCCTGCCATTCTTCACGCTCATCTTCCTTGCTCCCTCTGCCTCAAAGTTTCTTCTTCTTCTTCTTCTTTTTTTTTTTTTGTCTGCTGTATATCTAAGCCTCCTACAATTAGTTGACACTAATATGGGCATTATTCCACGTGCACTTCTCTCAGAACTGATCAGAGTATACAGTATCCAATTCAAATATGTACCCTTGACTTGAGGGGCAAGGTAACAGGTTATTGAACTTCAGAGTAAAAGGGCAAAAACCTTTACAACCTTACAACCTGGACCAAAGAGCTACAGGTCAACATGTGGCCCCTTCTGACTATCATCAAAACGTTCAGCAAAACTTAAATAAACAACCCAACTTAAGGAAAACCATAACTGTGCATACCCTAGTTTAGCACACGTATCACTAAACTCTTCTCCTTCATTACATAATGTGAAAGTTTTAAACACCAGATAGCAATGGTCTGGTCTCTTTGACAACTTTGAAGTATGTAGAACTGATCCAACTGAAAAGGATGAAAACTATTAGCTGAGAGTTCCTAAATCAGTGGAATTTAGAAAAGCAAAGCCAAGCTATCTGTGGCTGCTGTAGACATTCAGATCCAGACCTGTGAGATGGCTGATGATTATGCAGAGCAGCAGGCAGGACAGGCTCCTGAGAAAAGTGAGGCTTTGCTTCTTTATGTCGGAGGTCAAGTGGAGCCTGGCAAGTTAGTCGCCCCAAAGTAGCTGCCAACTGCTGGCATATGGAGTCGGGTACTTGTAAAGATGAATCCAGATCCTTCCTGTAATGATACCACACCCATGGCCACTGTGAAGTCATTCACTGGCCTTCACTTTCAGCATTCAGATATGCTATGGCATCCACTTTTCTTTTTGGTGTCCAAGAGCAGCAAACATATGTGAACACATTAAACAAAACTTTCTTGACCGCCCAAGCTCATCCTAAGAGCTGCCAAAGCAGTCTTCACAAATATCAAGAGCTCTGAATGCCTCTGACGGAGAAAATAATAAGTGATGCTTAACAGGTAAACAAAAGGGCAGTCTACAGAAGAGGTGTGTGTGTGTGTGTTTATCCATAACTTTATGCATATAGATCAGGTCAAACACAAAATTCTAAACACTTGAGAAACCTACAAGGATGATTTAATGAGAATGCTACATTTTATCCCACAGGTATAAATTATAACATCTAATTTTCATTATTAATTTTTGGTGGTAACCTCTGCCACCAGAGAACTGTACTACCACTTAATAAGACCAAGTTTATTCCATGACATAGTACAGTGTGAAAAAAAGAAGGCAACAGTTATATTTTGTGACTGTTCTGTACGCATTAAATATCTTTTTCAACATTCAAAACTCCATTAATTGATACTGATGAGGAAACTGACACAGAGGTATCAAATAATCTGCCAAGGCAAGGTCATACAACAGGTCATAAAGATCACACTCTACCTCTAAGTTCTTCATTCTACATTTGTAATGACACTTCAAATGCACATCTAAAAGGGGAATATAACCTAAAATATTTAAATTGTAAAGAAAATGTGTTCACTGCATCGATGTTTAAGAAAAGAAAATCCTATAATACTCCCAACAAGTTTTAGTATGCTTGCCAAAAAAGTAAGAGGAAAAAAAAAAATGAACTGATTCCAACAAGTCTAAAATTTCATTTATATTTAGAATGTGAGCTGAGCTAGGCTAGTGTATGTAATGAATATATATGTGCGTATGTCTCTCTGTGTATATAACACCCACATTATTCAAAAATCTCCCAAAAATGTGGAAAGTTTGTTCCAATCCTTCTCTATTTTGTCTACTTTAAGACTTCTTTGCAATATGCTTATGTAAATACTGAGTTTAGCTGCTGTTCTCATTTCTCAAATCTTCTGCTTTTCAATGAATTGGAAAAGTGACAGACCTAAGCAGACATCCTGGAACACAAAACCAAGGAGATATAAACAAATACAACCAGATCAAAAACAAAAGTGTCTTCTTAAAACACTCTAACTCATTACTACTGATACATCAAAAGAAGTGAGAAAAAGTAGAGTACATTGGCTTTGGCTAAAAAGTGGGTGGATGAGAGTATGAGTGTACATATGTACACACACACACACACACACACACAGATACACACACACACTAACACATAATGGACAACATTTTACCCAAGTTCACTTAAAACTGTACAGAAGCATGAGATCTAAAAGAAGAAAGACTCTGAAATAAAGAGCGATGCCGGGACATGGACAGTATTAAGGCTGCTAAGCTCAACAGGTAAGTGCCTTCAGTTTTCTTAAAGAGTTCACTTTATGGTTCAATTATATTAATAGCTCACTGACTCTGTGGGTGATTTGCCTAAATCTACATTTCAAACAGATGCTGAAGAAGATTAAGGATATAGTCAAATATTCATATCCCACTTACCTGATGCTAAGTCTTCTTCACAAACAGGAGTAAATGGTTATTGTGCTATTAAAAAAATAGTGCAAAGAACATGTTTGCAAAATACTACAAGTTGTGTACATAAAATATCCACATAAAAGTGTGAAACTTCACAATGTTGAATACTGGAAATTAAGTATATGTAATACTGTGGGAATGAAAGTTGAAAATGAGAGCACTTTTGATGAAGAGTTGGCAACAGTTATCAATGGATTTTGCACTTTGATAATACAACAATCACATTATTGGAAACACATTTTAAGTAGGACATTTTTGTCATACTTGAGAACTAAACATACATCTGGTATATATCTTCTCCATGTAAGCTAATAATATGACAGATTTTGATATAAACAAAGTCAGTCTATGAGAAATTTTACCAAAACAAGGAAAAGCTATTACAGTTATTCAATGTTGTCTCAGTGTAAAAACCACTTTATACTCTTAATTAAAGACTCTATGCTCATAGCAATGTACTAAAAGTAACAAAAAGCAAAACGAAAATTTTTACAGATAACTCTTCTCAAGATAATCACATTGACAAAATAAGCTGGACTGGGGCACAGCTGTGATCCCAGTTACTTTGGAGGCTGAGGCAGGAGGACTGCAAGTTTAGGGCCAGTCTGGGCAATTTGGTGAGACCCTGTCTCAAAATAAATTTTTTTTAAAAAGCCAGGGATAGGGCTGGGGATGTGGCTCAAACGGTAGCATGCTTGCCTGGCATGCGCGGGGCACTGGGTTCAATCCTCAGCACCACATAAAAATAATGATGTTTTGTCCACTGTAACCTAAAAAATAAATTTTAAAAAAAATTCTCTCTCTCTCAAAAAAAAAAAAAAAAGCGAGGGATATAAATCAGCAGTAGCATGTGCAATACCCATTACCAGAAACAACAGCTACAATGTTCAGTCTAGAAGTGATCAGGGTGAGGTAGTAGTTTTGGCTTTGTTTCCGCTGAGGAAAGCAAAGGGGAGAATTTGCTTTTTGGATGGAGAACAGACATCATCAACCTTCAGATTTTACTTCCAGCATCTCAACCCATATCCAGCCTGGTGTGAAGAGATGGCAGATGGGACCACGTCTGTTCTTTCAACTACTGAAGCAAGAAACTGAATGTATTCTGCTTGTTTTTATAAGCATGAATATTCAGTCACAATAAGTAGGAGCAAGGGTAAGTGTGCCAACTATATTAAGCAGGTCCCAAATCATCGTTATCCTTTTTCTCCTATTATAGATTAAGACAAGAAAAGTAAAATCAACATCTAGAAAATACCATTTCTGCCAAGCTTGGAAAAGACTCATTATTCAATGAAATGATGCTGGTTTTCATACTTTTAATGCAAATGTATTGAGTGAAATGTGTGAACAGAAGAAAAACCAAAGTAATTTTGTTAGAGGGGGGAAAAAAGTTAAGAGCAACTAAACTGAATTGGCAATTATTTTTTCACTTCATTTTTTTATGCTTTCATTATTTTCTCAAAAAATAGTAAACAGGCATTACAGTCTCAATGTTCATGATTAGCACACACATCAGACTCCTGTAAGTACCACAATAAACTTATACACGGATCCATTCTCCTGTTGTGTAAATAATGCCTATTTGTCATTCTTTACCACTTTATCTTGGAAAGGATTACTGAAACCAAAACGGATAATTTTGCTATAAACAAACATAAAAAAGGAATAATTTTTTTTGTCATGCATAAAAAATATTGAAATAATTCCATGTCACTCTACCCTTAATCTTCCCCCAAAAGACAGAGAACAAGGTCCAGAAATAAAATAATACAACTCCATTTGCTAAAATGAGTTTAATGACTGTTAAAAGAAAACATAAAGGCCATCTCCCCAGACTGTCAGTGAAAAACATCCATTAAAATTCCACCTCTCATCAAAAGTTTTTTTTTAAAAAAGATAATTCATTGTATATACAGAAAAGTTCTTCAAGAAGTCTTGAAAATGAATGAATACCTACCTCAATGCTCCATTCAAATCCTATTCTAGTCAGGACACCCCTCAATAAATAAACAATTATGTAGCAAAAGTGGCCTAAGCAATTGGGTTTCCCTGTGTCCCCTGACGCTGCCAGATGTGGGAAAAACATACTAGGTGCTTAGGAACCAGCAAGATATCTCAAACTGATGATCCCCTAGGGTCCAACAGGTAATGACTTTTAAAAATAAACAATTCCCAATAAAAAGACAGAAATCAGTCTGCTCTTTAGGATTGAGAGGGGATTTCTTAGATTTCTGTACATCCTAGTAAGCATTCATTCTAGAAGTGAATCAATGCCAAAGCAAGGCCCACGTGTGGGAGTTGAGATAGACTTACGAAGTAGCCTGTTCCCAAGCTGGAAGGAGCTGAACTCTGCAATAAAGCATAAAGACAAAGTGGAAAATCAGCAATGGTTTTTAACATGTTTCAATCCACACAGCTCATTACCAGCCCTCTGCAGACTTTTCATCACCACATCACATCACCAGTGCGTGCTGCCCCTTGTCATCTGCTACTGATACAAACACCGTGTTGCTTAATTTCCCCCTTTACATCTCTCAACAACTCAGAGATGCTAACGTGCTATTTACTGAATTCCAAGCTTCTGCGGTGGATGTAATTGCCAATTTATTTGACAGGCAGCTGGGTAATGAATTAATGATGGCATTTCGCCCTGCACTGAGACTAAACAGACACGCATCAGCCTGCCTCCCTGACTTGCTGACATTCAACGCCCTGGTCTCAAGCTACTCGGTTTTGTGGCCACAAAGGGGCAGGCAAGAGGAAAAAGCCCAGACTGACTTGAAAATAAAAAGCCCAAAGGGCTTGGATGACTTTTCCAGTGTGTGACCTATTTGCCAATTTATTCCCTGAAGGCACCAGTTAGTACACACACAGTTCTTTTCAAAAATGAGACATTTTGTAAACATAATTAGTGACCAAATTGCAAAGAATGTGTGGGTAAAAGGAGGTGGTGAAAAGCACAGTTTTTCTGAAGGTTTTAGTCAAAACAATTATCAATTTGGACTGCCATAGTTCTAACATACAGGGAACCCAAAAAACAATAATTCTGAAATGAATGCAGGGTATTATTTATTTGGAGAAAGAAACCAAAAAAAAAAAAAGGAAAACTGTGTTTCAAACCTTTCTGAGGTTCTGATCTTTGTTGTTTTTTGATTTGGGTTTTGGGGGGGATATTTTTGTTTGGTACTGCTTTTTGTACCAGAGATTGAATCCAGGTAAGCCTTACCCCAGTACTTTCTATTTTTTATTTTGAGAAGGGGTCTCACTAATTCCTGAGGTTGCCCCTCAAACTTGCGATCTTCTTGCCTCAGCCTCCAGAATTGCTCTGATTACGAGTATGCACCACTGCACCCAGCTGAGTGTCTTTTCTTTTTATGTGCTTTTCCTAAAACTTCTCCTTACAAAATTATGCCCCAGCCAGGCCTTGTGCCTCATGTACCAGGTCAGTTGTTCCACCTTTTTGGAGCATCCCGACCTCAATCCTGATGCAACAGTCTTTCCCTTCACTTTTATTTCTTCTACCAACAAGTCTTGCCTCTTGGTCTATGAACCACAGGTAGGAAGGACCAGCAGGTTTATCCTTCTTTGTTTCACAGCATATCACAATGTCTTGTACACAAGATGCATCAAGTGAGCATTTGTTGAGTCAACATATGAATAAATGAATGGACAGACTGTATACAGAAAAAAGGCTCAGGAGAATTAAACATCCCCCAAATACATTAGATGTGATTTTTTTCCTCTTTTAATTCTAAGCTATTTGAGAAGGAAAGATGGGATTGTAACTGTGTCCACATGGAGCAAAGATAGCACTATTCAGGGCATTAGTAAATCAGGGTCCAGAGAACTTTCTTCACCTCAGTGTTTCAGACAAGCTCAGAGCAATAAAGCAGCACAGACATGGTCATGCATATTGGACTCAAGTCTTAGAAATCCTGCTCCAATCCTGATCTCATAGCAGTATGAAAAAAAAGATTCACGGTAGTCATGGAGACAGCCTCTCACACAGTGATTAACCATGTGACAGTGTCACATGTTTTCAGCACTCTCAGGCCTCCATGGAACAGGTGAAGGCAAAAGCCAAGTTAGGTCTCCACCAGCCTGGAGTCATGCCCCTGGGAAGTAAACTCATTTTAGGATGAATTACTCAGAGAGAACATGGGATTTGTTTATTTCATTCACCCTGCTTCCTGCAAATGTATTTTATTCTAGAAGGAAAAGTACCCTTCCAAAACCACCTCCCCACCCCCACGTACACATCATCTTATTGTATACCAAAGAAAATTACATCCTTCAGGTCTAGGAAAGCTCTGTTATGCTCATTTTGCATATATATTGTACATTACTCAGGGAGCTAGGTGGAGAAGAGGGCTTTGTTGTGCATATTTGTTCTGGCTGTTGTTTATGCAGGTCTAACTGAATGAGGGAACAGTGGGTATCATTTCAATTTCTGATGTCAACATCAAATTACTTATTTAATTTCATGCCTGGTGAAGCATTGTATAGCTACACGCAGAATCATTTCACTTCATTTGTTATGCTGTGCTTTCGTGGCGATTGGCTTGCCTTCCAACTGACAGCTTTAATTACGACATGAATTTGATTGCACTGCTGAGGAATTAACATAATGCAACAAAGCATTTAAGCACCCTGCCTTATAACCCCCTCCCACCTACAAGCACAGACAGACACATGAAGGAAAACAGACACTAGATCCTCACGTATGTTAAAGGTCCACTGGAATTTGCTCCAGCATTTGCTAGAACCTATATAGAACCTCAGAACTAGAGGCTATCCACATTTGCCAACCCTCTATACTCACCATTCTCTTTCTTTCTTTCTTTTTTTTTTTTTTAAGGGAAGAGATTTGCAGCATTCTGTTTTGATTTCTGATCCTGGTAGACAACTTTATCAAAACCTCTCTTCCATGCTACCTTACCAAATGTTCGGGACACTGGCATTTCCTCCTGTCTTACTCTTTCCCCACATCTTTCTTGACTACTTGCTAGCTCCCTTCAATTATAGCTGGAGAATCTTTACAAAAGTAACATTTATGAAATAAAGAGATGTCTCTTTATTCAGTCCTTCAATTCCAAGATTCTGGCTATGGCCTTGTATTCCTGGGACACTACTCCTGATCACCAATAGGAGCCCCACCATAAAAGTATGGATATAAGAAGTTACCAGCAACAGAGAGGCCAGGGTGTAACTGACATTCATAACAAGGATCATATAACCTAGGAGCTTTGCTATCAAAAAGTTCCAGTAAAGTATCTTGATCAAGTATGGTTAATCTAAGTCCCAATCTAAAAATACAGCTACAAATATTTGAAAACTTCAATAATTAAACAAATCAGAAATTACACAAGCACCTCTAAACCACAGGAACCAACATACTATGCTACAAAAACAAAATAAATGTTTACAAACAAAATTTTTATAGTTGAAGATTTATTGTTAATTATTCATTTATTGACACATATTTAGAAATTAATACTGCTTTCTCATGTTACAGGAGATGTCCTAGAAAGGCAGATAGGCAGTGGTACACTATCAAACACACTGCAGAACAATTCTTCACTGATCAGCTTCATTTTAACTTTCTGCCCTCCCCCATTTCTAATAAGAGAGGGCTTCCATATTTCTTGCCTGAAGACCTTAACTGTGTACAAGTTATACTCATTCTAGTAGGTGTAAGAGGTATCTCCTTTAAATTTTGATATTTCTCTAATGATTAATAATTAAGACAATCTTCTGATGCATTTACTAATATTTCAATTCATTACCTATTTTAAAAAATATTTTTTTAGTTGTCAATGGACATTTTGTTTTATTTATTGATACGTGGTGCTGAGAATCAAATTCAGTGCCTCACACATGCTAGGTAAGTGCTCTGCCACTGAGCCACAACCCCAGCCCAAGTTCTTCCTTATTTTTTAATCAGGCTGTCCTTTAATTGTTCAGTTGCAGGATTTCTTTACATATTCTGGACATTAAACACTTATCAATTATATGATTTGCAAATATTTTTTCCCACTGAATATATTGTCTTTTCACTTTCTTGGTAATACCCTCCGATGCACCAAAGTTTTAAACTTTGATTATATCCCATTATGTCACCACTTCTCTTCTATTGTTCATGCCTTTGATGTAACATTCAAGATTGTGAAGATTTATCTCTGGGTTTTCTTCCAAGAATTTCACTGTTTATGCACTTATGTTTGGGAAACAAATCCATTTGAGTTTGTTGTTGTTCATGGTGTGATGTAGAGATCCAAATTCATCCTTTTCAAGGTGGAAACTCAACTGTCCCAACAGCATCTCTTGAAGAGGAAATTTTTCCCCCATTGAACAGACTTGGTATTTGGTATGGTTTAGATATGAGGGGTCTCCCAAAAGCTCATGTGAGAGACAATGCAAGAAAGTTTAGAGGTAAAATTATTGGGTTATGAGAGACTTAACCCAATCACTTTATTAATCCACTTGAATGGAGTTGCTGGGTGATAAGTGTAGACAGTGTGAGGCTGGAAGAGGTGGGTCATCAGGGGCATGCTTTGGGGGTATATATATATTTTGTCCCTGGTGAGCTGAGCTTAGTCCCTCTCTCTGATTCCTAATTGTCATGTCCTGAGCTTCTTCCCTCTGCATACTCTCCCACCATGATATTCCCTCATCTTGAACTCAGAACAATGGTATTGGCCAACTATGAACTGAGACCTTTGAAACGATGAGCAAAATAAACTTCCTCCTCTAAAATTGTTCAGGTCTTTGGGTCACAGCAGGAAAAAACTGACTAAAACAGTAATCTTCTCCAAAATCAGTTGAACTTACAAGTATGGGTTCATATCCAAAATTCTCAAGTCTATTCCGTACAGACTATATATGTACATTTGTACACGTGTATGTATGTGTGTGTGTGTGCGCGCGCGCGTGCGCGCACGTGCGCATGTATGGCAGTGCCTCACTGTTGTGATTACTGAGCTTTGTAGTAGTTTTTGAAACTGGGATAGGCATGTCCTCTAATTTTGTCCCTTTAAAAGATTATTCTGGCAATTCAGGAGCTAAAACCATTCCATATGCTTTTGAGAATCTGCTTTTCTATTTTTGCAAAACAAAACAAAAAAAAGAATTCTGATGGGTACTATGCTGACTCTGTACATAGCTGATGGTAGGTAGTGTTGACACCTTAGTAATATTCATTTTCCCTATTCATTGACATGGATGGTCTGTTGCAATTTTTTTTGAGTTAACGAGAAGTGAGGTCAGAGTAACAATCAAGAGATCTCAGTGACTGTGCTCTTGTCTCCTCAATTGACATGGCTTTCATTTTTCCAATCTAAAAAGAAAATCTGACCAAGTAACTTGGGAATAATTCTCTGTGCCAATAAGACCTCACATTAAAAGCGTAACAAAATCTCAGAAGAGAAGTGCTATTGTTAACAACCTAGGTTTGGAGATTATCATTATATACTTCTATCACAAAGTTAATGAAACATAAGAACACACACAAATATATTCTTACACAAATAATATACTCATATTCAGAACAAAAGACTGAGTTAGTACTCAGTAAGTTAGTATTCATATAAATGACATTATGCCACATTAGAAGTGGAGATAATTAACTATAACCAACTTATTTGAAATGCTTTGCTAAATTCATTTAATTCTTGTAAGAAGTTGATGTTCTATACACCAAATTTCGCTCTAAACATCACAAATTTTCCCAAGACACATAGGAAAGTGGCTGTGTCTTGGAGTTGTCTGCTTTAACTGAGAACGAGATGAATGTAGTATTATCATAGGGAATGGCTGAGTAGTCTGCACAAGCTTTTACACTAGCCAATCTCCTCTCAGTAAAAAGGTTTTGAGCATACATTTCTAAGATACACATGTTTAAAAATTACATATCAACTATTCTTGCTTATTATAGTGAATATTAGTAAAGTTTAACTTTTCTCTCATAAAAAAGACGCATTAACATTTTTTCCTTTAATGTGATGGATAGTTTTGCACACTGTAATTAAACCACTGCTTTCAAGCAGATAGGAAAAAATAAGACTAGAGATGAAGGATTTTTCTCCTCACTACACATAATACCTGTTGCTCTTTGTCTACATTCAGGCATTCTGAACTGGTCTCTTTATCTTTCATCGTATTTCCTTAACCTGCTAATATTGCCTTTGTTGGTATCAACAATAAAAATTTCTCTCCACTTGATCCTTTTACAATAGTTTCCATATCTTGCTCTCAGAAACAAAAATGGGCAAAGAATGGTGATATATGGTGCATAAGGGCAGAAGGCAAGGTAGTCCAAAGAGGAACAGATGGTTCTCAGGAGAACAGAGGGGAATCAGCCCTGCAGTAGATGGGATGCTGGAGAAGGGTTAGTGCTAGATCTAGCAGGTAATGGACCCCTCCAGCAGTACAGTTTATTCTCATAAGGTCCCATAGAAATCCATCATTAAATGTAATTCCTTCTCTTACCAAATAAGTAGCTACTTCTTCTAATAGGAAAGAAATGACAATAAGGGATTGTTACTGATTTCCTAGGAGAAGAAATGAAAAAAGGCCAATAGCTAAAAGATGTCATCTCCTAGTTATGATACTGCCTTGACTGTTTCATTTGTTAGTAATAAAGTTACTATTTATGAATAATAAAACTGTTACCACTTCTCTTTGTAATCTGTTGTTTCTAAGGTAATAAATATTCCCACCTACTTTATAATTTGTTAAAACACATTTTAGATCAAACTACATTGTAGAATAACATCTATGAGGTTTAAAAAGGTACATACCAAGAAAGTGTGGGCTGCAAAAACTTGGGCACACAGCCTGATCTACAGAGGAGGGGTGGTTACTAAGTGAGGCTGGAAGCAAGACTGCACGCTGTCGTGGTTTTGTTCATTTTTTTATTAAACTTACATCACTGAGCCTTTCCCGGGAGCTGCTCCGGTGGAAGCCCTTGGATTCTCCACTGGCACTCTCACTGTCACTGTCCCTGCAGCTGTTCTGCCCTGGCTTGAGCTAAAAGAAAAAAAAAAGAGTGAAAAGGAAAAAGTCAGTGGTATCCTCACATGAATATTTCTTACCCCCTGATCTTCAAGCCCTGTCAAGAGGGAACAATTTAAGGTGTTGGTCGTAACATTCTCTTCAGTTTCTGAACACTGCACAGCAAGATACCATGGGAAGCAGGGCAGCAGAAAGTAGGACAGGCAGAAATAAATTCCATGAAATGGCACTATAGAGAAGGAATGAACAAGCCTTGAACAAACATCCCAAAGGCCTAACCTGGGCCATGAATTGGGAAGTAGCCTCTCAGAAATTTTTCTTCTATTTCAATGTGATTCTCCTTTCAATAATAAAAAGACCAAAACATGGAAGAAACGAAAGCTAGATTACAGCAACTAGGATTTCCCACTCTATTACCTCTGTTTTCTCCCAAAGAAACAATCAAACAGGACAACAAACAAGGCTTCTCTTGCTAGGTAAAATGATGTGAGGCTGTGAGGCTGCCCTGCAAGCACTGAGAAGACATTGCTGACATTGTTTGAAACACACGCTGGAGGTCTTTTGCAGGGTTACTTAAAAGTACCAATTAATGCCTACAACTTCAGTAGTGAAATCAGTATTCATTCAACAAATACACATTCAGTGCCACCATGGGGCTGGGACCAAGTGATCTGGAGACAGTGCTAGACAAAATAAGAAAAAGAGAAAAGAGAAATTTCTGACCTTATGAAGTAAACTTCATATTCATATTCTAGAACTTTCCACACATTAGCCAGCTCTTGACTTTTACTACCAGGCTTTGATTTTCCTTTAAAAAGGAATGAACACAGAGAATTGAAAATCACTGGCCCATCTAAGTCCATAAGTCACACATACACGGAACAATGGTCTATGATGCCATCACCAACCACATGGTTCAGTGACGCAAAGACACGGGAAGCATAAATTTACTAGATACAGCCCTTTACCATGTCTGCATTCTAGCAAGACGAAGATAAATGTAAATACACAATAAAATAGTTACTAAATGCAAATCAAAAAAGTAGCTGGTGACAAAAGAGAAGTGGATATTTTTGGAAACCCTAGATTTTAAAGAAGGATTTGGGCTCATTTGGGTGACAGGAAAGGGAAAGACAACTTTTTGGTGGTACAAAAGCAAAAGAAGCATCATGCTTCTTTTCCGGAGTCTCATTTGAAAAGAGGTACCCTTTAGGAGAAAACAGGAAGAAACAGGGTACATGGATGAGAATATAGACAGTCTCCAAATACAAGCTCAGTTTTTCCTAGATATAATGGAAATTTAAACAGCAAAACAGTCAACAGGTAGCAAATGTTTGCCTACAGGTTTCCAAGTAGCTCTGGAGCCAAGTGTGAAAATGGAACCAAGATGAATGGAGAATGAGTCTGAACTAACAATGCTGTACCTTTAACAAGCCTCTTCTCATAATGCTCAAACCCCTTATGGTGGCACTATCCACAGAGAGCTTCCCCACATCCCACAATACAGCATTACTTTTCACTTTCAACCAACCTCTCTATAAATTCATTTTATTACTTTCTTCAAAAATCTCTTCTTCCAGGAAGTCTTCTATAATGGAGCACATAAAGCCATGCTGATTTTACTTTCTTTTCCCCTGAGCCCTAAAATGCTTAATTTTCTTCCAAGCTAATGTTAAACTTTCTAAGTTAATTTAAGTGCAAGACATATGAGCCTTTTCTTATTACTATGGGATTAAAGGACAGGTATTGTCTTTTCAAATTTTCACCTTTATAAAACATATAATATATAGCGTACTTTTCTAAAATGAACATCACCTTCACTCCATCTGAAATTCCATGTCCCTTTCTATCCCGTGCTTTTCCATATCAGACCACTTCTGTCTGGAATGTTCACCCATATCCACTCTATGCTTCTGTGATCAAGTTGTTTTTAAAATTTCAGATCTTCTCTATTATGATCTTTGAAGAGCTCTTTCTATATTCATTTTAAAAAATATAACTTCAACGTTCAGTTACCACATCATCCTTCAATAAATGCCTCTGATAATTATAATATACTTTCAAATCCCAAAAACCTCACTGATATAATAATAATAATAATTACACTGATAAGAAACTCTGTATGTGGTGTGAGACCCCCTAATTCATAAGTAATACCAAGAGCTCTTGTTTTACAGTGAGTGTTAAATATTGTGGATAGAACTATCTGCAGTGTATGGATGAAGAAGCAGAGAGCATGTGCTGTGCTCAAAAGTAAGCAAAATCTAGAGCTAAATTAACCCATGTTTCTACTACCTACTGTTCTAATTTTCATTGTACTTACTTATGGATTTATTTAATCTTTCTTCCCCACAGTACTAAGTTTGAATACAGGGTATAGCACATGACATACTAGTGCTACTCCCTTAGAAGTCAATCCCTTAGAAGTATCTTACCTATGAGCTGTATCCCCAGTTCTCTTTTAAATTTTGTTTTGAGAAGAGAGCTCACCAAATTGCCTAGACAGGCCTCAAACTTGCAAACTTCCTGCCTCACTCTCCTGAGCAGTTTGTTAGGCGATGTTCATAAAACTTAGCCACCCAACTTAAGATTCTCGAGAAATATACATCCAACTAGGAATTAAAGATATAAGGGCATCCAGGCTTTTCCTAATATGCAACTGGCTTATCAATGCCTAGACTTGGGGCTTTTCCATGCCTCTTCAAGAAAACAAAACGTTGATCTTAATAAGGTTGATCTAAATAAGACTTCAGTGGCCCTGATGTAAGGAATCTGACTAAATGCTTATCTAGGTTACGGGAAACACCAAAGACTTGAGAAAGCAGCTTGCTAGCATTCTCAGTGCCCTGCGAGCAAAGGCACACAAGTCAATTCCCTTAAAAGGGTCTTATATAAAATCCACCAATGCTACACTTTTCTCCTCCAAAGCCAGGCTCAAGTTTAAAGGAAATTTAGGATTTTAAGCTGTCAGACAGCTCAATATTTCAAAGTCATGGACTGACTATAGTAAGTACTAAAGCTAAACCATAAGATTTCAGGCAAGACATGTTCATTCCTAATCCCATGAATATATTTTAAAATTGGCATTTTTAGCCATTCAGTGGATTATTTGGAGTAGCACAACTAACTCAGAAGTTGTCATCATTTACCTGAAATTCCCAGGTATAATTGGCATCGCAGAGACATTGCAAAGGCCAGTGCTGGCTTAAACACTTAAAGACCTTAGGAAAATTCATCTGTCTGCAATGATTTGTCCAAGCATCTCTGGCGGCACTTGCTATCACTGATGTAACTGATTTCTTACTATCAGCTCTTAGATACCTCGGGCCTTTGTTTATTATAACCAATTCTCTGATTTGACAATTTTTACCCCACCTGAATACTACATAGTTCAAGTACCAGAATTAGATCAAAATATCTACAACAAAAGGTAGACAGGCTAGTATCTGGCATAAGTGACAGTAATATTATCAATTAGAAATTTCTTTATAAAACTATAAGTAGTCAGTTGTTTTTTATTAGATTTCATTGTCAACAGCAGTTTTATAATAATGCTGAATACAATGCACAAACAGTTCCCATTATAGTGTTAATGGTATTAATGGCTAAGTAGGAAAATAACAATCCATTGTTTTATAACTGCAAGTAAACATCACCTTGGACTGCGTAAGAGTGAAGCAATTCTGTGTACATCTATAAGAAAATGGGAGTCATTCTTTTTCAGCACAGGTATAGAAAATTCAAAAAAGGTGCTAGATTTGCCCGGAAGGTGTCAATGATGCATTTAAAAAATTTACAGAAGGATAAATTACGTGGAAGTGATATCTATGCCCAGAAATTATAAGTTCTGCAGTGAAATACAAAGAAGTGTCCAAAATTAATCTCTTTCCACACTTCCAGTTCCTCAGAGCAGTACATATCCTACTTTGAACTATTGAGTTTTCCTGTATAAATCTAAATGAACTCTTTTTATAATATTTTAAAATGCATTAATAAGCTCAAAACCTTTCTTATTCTCAATGAAAAAACTTAATTCACTCAGACTTAACTCCCACCAAATCAGCATGTATTTAATCTAAAAAATAGAATCTAAAAATTAGATATTTTTCTTTGTCAAAATAAAATTGTCTCCAAATGGGAACAGTTACATGGATTGGGTTATATTTGAACTCTTTTATTCCTGAAGCTTTAAAGGGTATTTTAGATAAAAGATCCATGAACCAAACTGAAGTACTTAGTAGAAAAGCTGATTTATCAAAATTAAGCTAACACAATAACTACTATAAAAATTATAAGGTTCAATAAAAATATTTTTTTCAAGAAATTAAAAGTAGCCAGGCATGAAGGCATGACTGTAATTCTAGCAAGTAGCAAGGTTGAGGTAGGAGGATGTTAAGTTTGAGGCCAGCCTGGAAACTTAGAGAAAGCCTGTCTCAAAATAAAAATTAAAAAGGGTTAGGGGTATACAGTTCAGGGGTAGAGTGCCCTAGGTTAAACCCCAGTAAACACACACACATACACAAAGTTAAAACTATATTGTACTTTTTAATGCACAACAGTTCTGTATAAAAGCTAAAATATTATATACATTAGACAGAGCCAAGAACTGTGCGAACTTTTCTCCACAATCTTATAATCAGAGCTTATGTTGTTTATTCAATAGTTAGAGAAAGAGTTTTAGGTATTTGATAAACTAAAAATAGCCATCAGTAAGATTTAAATATTAAAAATAACTGCCTTAGCCAGGCATGGTAGTACACACGTGTAATCCCAGCAGTTTGGGAGGCTGAGGCAGGAGGATCTCGAATTCAAAGCCAGCCTTAGCAACTTCAAGGCTACTCAGCAACTCAGTGAGACCCTGTCTCTAAATAAAATACAAAATAGGGCTAGAGATGGGGCTCACTGGTCAAGTGCCCCTGAGTTTAATCCCTGGTCCCCCACCCCACACCATCCCATCCCCACAAGTAAAAAAAAAAAAAAAGCTGCCTTAGGCTCCATCACACATGTCTCTGTAA